GTGTTTATGACTGTACCTGCGTGTTAACATGTGGGTAGTAAAAATTTTAAAATTTTACCATGCGATATTTTAGAGCACAGTATAGAATAGAATTAGCGTTTTGAAAGTTTTCATCACATATTATCATCAATGTACCTGTGGAATATAATACGCACCTTTTAATAACAAATCAATATGTCAAGTCTCGACAACCATATTATTTTCTTAGTCTAAACAAAATCACTCAACTTTTGAATAGCATAACCGTAAATTGTATCGATTTGTTTTGTCTTCCAAAAATGTCAAAAAACTATGGACAAAATAATATAATATGTACCATAAAGAAAAATTACATACATTTTCATCAATAGATGCATCGCTCCAGATAAAAAACTTGGAACCAATGAAAAAATTTCATATAAATCTTGGCGACTATGCCCTGGAGACAAACTAGCGTTTCGTTACAGCAGCAGAGTTACAGCGAGATTCTGAAAATTATGAAAAACTTTTGGAAACTCAATATTCACCTCATCCGTTATTTAAAAAAAATCACTTCAAAGTTATGTTTACTTGACCGGGTGAAAAGCTCGATTGGGGCACTCGTTTTAATTTCTTCCAATCGCAGTGCACTGTATTTTTTTTTTGTTCAACCAATCGATATGATATTGTTATAACCACCACCCGGGCCCCGGTTACAAATAATTCGCAAAACAACTTCACTACAACTGCACTATAGATACCTACCACGTACATTAGAGTATTTCAAATATGTCTGTTATTTGCCACCGAGAATTTCTCGGATGCTTTTACAACTATACAGCACCTGTCGACATAAATCCGTGGTAACTGTACACGCCGAATGTCTGGTTCGTCGTAGTTCGCTTTTTTAACAAAACGATGCCTTTATGTTGTTATAGGTATACATTATTATACATTCGGTTGTGGTCGAGTTTCGTAAATAGCTAACACCACAATAATACCCAGTACACGATATCGAATAATATAACAATATGTGGATAATGAAGAACGGTGGTTGATGAGTGGATAATCGGGAAAAATTAGTACATACACAAGAATAAATTATATTATACAATATAATATATTTATTATTATAGTTATCTATAAAATAAAAGATAATGTTCTTTAAATTATATTATTATCTGTTAAATACAAATTAAAAAATAATTTATTTGTTGACAAAATTATAAATAAACGAAAAATAAAACTTCATGAAATATAAAAGTTAAAAGATAATTATTAGATAAAGTATATTATTATACATCACAATAAAATAAAAAAATAACTTTTGATAACATTATTTAACAACGGTCATCTCTGCAACTGTTTTCGACTAGAAAATTAATATTTTGCTAAATTAACATAATTTTAATTCATCACATTAAACAATAGAGATAACAAAACAGTTATAGACTAACATTTACGTTAAAGTACATATTATCATATTATATTTCTATAAATTATTTTTAATTATTATAATTCTTCATTTAAATACTAACAATAATTTGAAAAATACTTGCAATTTACTAGTTGTTTCTATTATTAATATATCTGTATTTATTATCACACTATAAATATTGTTGATATATATATATAAAGGATTAATATTACGTCTATATTGATATACTGACAAGATACGAACAAAAATATATATATATATGTTTTAAGTTCGATTATTTCACAATTATTATCAGTAATTCACATCGAAACCTTTTGCAGTTAAATATTTAGACGAATATTACGAAAGATGTGGAAAACGGATACAATTGAAACCGTATTGACAGTTCTTATTTATTGGCAACAGAGTTACAGTTTTACATAATTTGAATTTATTATTAATGTTAAGGGAAAAAAGCAGATACTTTTTTTTTCATCCACTAATATAATAGGTATGACAACCACACAATTTAAATTCAAATAGTTCGAAAAATATGAAGTCAAAGCAAATGAAGAACGGCGCATTCAATAATGAAGTTGGAAAATTATTCGAAAGCGATGAAAAACAGATTATCTGTCCTATACAAATTACGCGTAAAAATGTTCGTTTTTATTGACTTGTAAAATTATATCAAAATTAATGTAATAGAATACTTTTTTTTTAATTTTAAAACAGCATGACTGAAAAATAATATGTTAATGTAGGCAGTAGAACCAATTTTAGACTTTATATTTTATACTTTTTAATTTTTTCTATGCCAATGAATGCCAATGAGATTAACTGTAATAATTTATTTACGCTTTGTCTAGCTATTAATTTAAAATCGTATACACACACAATTTATTATATACATAATATTTAATATATATATATGTATAAATTATTAAATACGATGAAATATTACAATTTTCGTTTATGGTAAAAATATAATATTGATATTCTTTAGCTTCGTATATAAAACGATACCTAATGTGAAACATGTTTGAAACAAAAAAATTCAATTAAATATTGGATAACAAAAGAAATAATATCATGTAATAAAACTATTATACGATAACATTTGAATTTAAATTATCATTTGGTTTGGTAATTTCATAATAATATCATCATAATGTACTACAATCAAAAAGACTGCAATTTTAGACAATATGTTTTCAAAAATAAATAAATACATTTCAAAAATAATTAAATATAATAATAGTGAACGTAAAACATTTTGTTTTCTTTGTAATCGTAAAAATATATTATGTTTATAGCTATTTATTGTTCGTCGTATATTATGAAATTATTTAATTTATTAGTACTTTGTGCGATCGTTAAAAATTCACGGGAGAAAATTAATAATTGAAGAAAAATAAAACTATCGATCGCATTATAATATTATCATTAAACTGTTGTAGATTTTACACTCATAACTTATATCATGTTATTGTTTAGTTATATTGTGATTAATGACAATTAAGAGGCCACCGAAAACATTCCAAACATTCGGCTTCCAAACTTCTATCAACCACATTATCACAGAATGTAAGAGAAACACACAAGAGGCCCGACAAAAATTCGACATACCCAAGCACCTTCACCACCGAAGACAACCATTGACATTTTTTACATTATTTATGAAATATATTAAATTGTACAGTTTATAGTTTGAGTAATTTAAGCATGCAATACAAACCAATGGTCCTGTTATTGAGGCATACACTTTAATAATAATAATAATAAAATAACTATTAAATGGGTACCATATATAATATATACTATAAACATATTGGGTAAGCATTATTCATGCAATTTATTATTATTCGGAGAATATTTTAAACCCTAAACGTCGTTTTTGATAAGACTCGTGTTAGTTTGACGCGACACGAGGCATTTGGATTTTAGGCCTTTTTACTCTACTGCAATCCTATTAAATGGGCTTTTAAGTTTTTTATTTCGACGGTCGACACACGAGACACGTGATCGATTCTAAGTTACGTTTTATTTATTCAGTAATTTGGCATTTGGCGTCTGCAATTATTATAACATTTGAGTAGACACTTGAAAGTGTACTGGAATATTTAATGCATATTTTGAAATAATTATATTTATGAGGTACCTCAACTGTAAGAAAAATGCCATCAAGTGGTACAACAACAAAGACAATGAAATACTTTCATTGTTGTTGTTTCGGATCATTAAAAACTGTATGTTGACCAATAAATGGGCTGAGGCTACTTTAAAAGCGTTGTAATAATAAACATTGTTTCGCTTCGCTAACAATTTATAGGTACCAAAAAATAATAGGTGATCGCATGATTTTCAAAACAAAATTAATCGTCTGCAAAATTAACAATAGTATATGAGCTTTTTCTCTTCAATCTTTATTTTCATTTCACAAAAAACAATATTGAACCAGCACTGTATAACCTAACCCAACCTGAGTATAACAACTATAAATTCAACTCAGGTTTCAAAGCACTAACGTTTACACACGAGATAAGTATCACAATATGGATACGAAACAATAATAATATAGCAATTTGTCGTACCTACATGTAAAGGACGATTCTGTGGACGTGAATCCAATCAATAACTGCAGCAGACGTCTCCATAAAGTATTTCTAAAATATTTTCCCGATAACTTAATAATAACTAATGCGATTATATTACTTGTGGACTGAACCGAAAACCTAAAAACCTATGAATCGCAGCTATATTCGTTGAAAATATTTTGAAGCCGTGCGACGAGATTTCGAATAGATTTATATATTTTTATTTTCATTCAATGTTATAAATTGTTAAAATTGTTAAATTAAGATACAATTTTTTTTTTTTTTTTTTAATAACGTCATTGTGATTGGTCGGCTATTCAACCGTACTCGATGGATCAATAATAATACACGGCCTAGGGTTGCCGTTTGAATAAAACCAGGGCGCCGGCTGCAACGGTTTTTCGGAGCATATAATAACATCATTTTATTCGTCCAAAGTAAAAATAAATCGTTTCGAAGAGGAAAAACCAAACTTAATTATTCCGACGGACCTTAGGTCGGAACGGATTTCACCGGGGAAAAGAATTCACACAGCACACACACGACATGGCAGTTTATTAACAGCATTGGACCGTTTCGGCAGCACAAAAGGACATCATTTCATCATAATAATATCATATGGATCGTAGTTCGTATGACAACCAGTCTTATCAGGGTAATAATAATATATTTTCGGGTGTCTTTCAAATCGCTGACATATTTCCGTCACGCGAATTGACGTGGTGACATAGCACTAAATTAAAATATATATATATTTTTTTTCTTTGGCAATTGCAGCGTATATGGGGAAGGGTGAATGGATGGGGGACCTGACCACACGTCGACGATGATGTTATATTATAATTTGATACATCCGGATATAACGATAATAATAATATCATATAATATATGCGACAATAATCATAAACATTACTCTATAGACTATATAATATATCCTTTGACACGTTGACGTTGAGTGCATCGGCGGCGGAGTAGTGGGACCAGCTGAGCTCTAGCTCGAGTTTCAATCGCATAATATTGTTACTATTTTAGACTCGAGTCGATGGACAATCGGTGTCTATCGCCATCATCCTTTGAAGTTTATTCCTTTTGGTTTCCACTTCCGACACCTGTATAGTGCAGAAAAACGTATTGGGTTAGTTTATAGGTCGTTTAGGACAGGTTATCAGGTGACACAATCTGCAGGTGTCGTACCAGTAAAAATATATACATTTTAATATTATATTTTACTTAATAATTTCATTATGTTTAATGCAATAAACAAATAATGCATTGTATCGCATAAAATTCGCACACCATGTGCGTGTTTTAAGGACATTTTTTTCAGAAGTGCCACAATAACTTATTATTAACAAACATACCTACGTATTATACTAACCATGTCTACCGTATTCCAACTACCGTACGTATGTGTATAATAAGCCAATATTGATTTAGAAAATATAATACAAAGTTTAACTGGTACTTTTTCAATCAATATATTATTTTAATTTTATCTGGTAATACATTGTAATCATTGTATTATGTTATTATGTGGTAATATATTATAAAAGTATATAGAAAACTAAACAGTTCTAAAACTTGAAATGTCTACAAATATTTTTAAATGTGTGTAAATAATGTAAATAAGAAATTGATAGTTTAAGTAACTTTATAATTTTTCAAGTTTCAAGGTTTCAACGATTAATATTTTTTGAATAATCACAAAATACGAACAACAAAGAATAAATGGTTATTTTGTTTAAATATCATCCAATATCGTCAAAATTTAAACTTAAAACGTTCATAAAAAATTAATGTGACTTTACGCCAAACTTTCTTTAACATTATAATAAGCAAAACTTATGAAAATCAGTATTAGATTTTCAAGTTTTATAGGTAGGTATTAAAGTTAAACATTTTAAGAATTTTCAACTAAAAAATAATTAGCAAACGTTCGTGATTTTGACGTTTTTTATGAAGATTCTAGCTTTAAATGTTCATACAATATTTAATGTGAATTTTCACAGAAATTTATTTTTGAATTCCAATGAGAAAAAATTACGAGGAATCCCACGTATTAAAATTTCAAGCTTTTCGGCCAAGATATAAACATGTATAAGAGAAAAAAAATGACAATCTCAAATGCCATAATAGTGCAGATAGCTCAAAAATACCTCAAATATTTGGAAAATTTTGCAATGCCTATAAAATGCAAAAATAAATATTTTAAGAAAATATATTGTATCTACGGTCATTCGTTTTTGAATTAATCGATTTTGACAAAAACAGGTGTTGCGCAATTTCTGTTTTTTTCGTAATTATTTTTTAGTTTTAACGATTAATAAGAAAAGTACGTAGAATTTTTTGCTTTTGACCTTTTCAAATCACCAGCTTGATCCAATTTCCTAGCAAAATCCTCCCTTGAAGTTAATGATCAAAGCATTTTTGCTACCTTAAAAAGTTTCTTCAGGCGTAAAAAAAATCACACATCATTGTAAAACCAATTCGCTTCGCTTAGAATCTTAAAATTTTACAGCCGTATATTATACATTAAAACATATTGTGTAAAATGCAACATTTTTCATGTTGGGAGGTACAATATAAGGGGTGAGAAGCCGTCACCTCCCATGGGGTGTGTATGACTAGTAAAAACGATAGGTCATCCTTAAAAATGATTGGACACATGGCCTTATAATATAAACTCTGTTTTATAATATTATATAGTATAGTAAAAGAGAAAACTTTATTTTTTTTTTTATCTACAAACACGGTTTTTATGCTATTCATACAGAACATAATAATAATATGATCAATATAGTTATATATACGACCACTTTATATGTAAATATATTTCGTTTTTATCATTTCTGCGATTCCGTGTAAACCAAAATTGGATTTCGTCATTCGCAAACGATATATCTCATCGTTCTAATAAATTATATCATAATAATATTACGGTATGGATGTATCTATATATATGTACACACCGTCCTATATCTGTGGTGTGCACCGATGTTGGTATAGGTACCATGATGGAAGACGTATGACCGTGTGTTTTTGTTATGCAAATCATACACAAGTATAAATTGTCAAATAACACCTGTCGATAAATTATTATTTATACACAACATCGAACATACATCATACACGTACAACTGCAAGACATCATATATTATTTTTCCGAAGACATTTATGCGATAGAACAAAGCAAATATATCACAAAATATTTTTACTTGGCCATAAATCAATAAAAGAGGATTAAATTTGAAAAAAAAAAACGTGCTCTGACAATTCGGAAAATTATGTTTTACACCAAGATTTAGAAAAATTCTCAGATGAAAGCCATATTATATCGCTCAATGGAAATCAAGTCAAAATGTAAACGTATGTTAATTAAATTCAGCTTAATGGCCAGAGTCGTCGAGTCTTATATAATAAAAATTGTATATAGCTTGTTTATTTCTAAGCGGTAAGGCTATTTACAATATATTTTATGCATGCCAAATAATAATAATAAAAAATGATTTTTTATTTATAATATTTGAGTTAATACTATTTACAAGGAACATCCAACATTTTAGAGTAACGGCGTATTGAATAGGCAAAATAGCTACACGAACGTCGATCTTTTGTAAAAAATAAAAACATTTTATTATACCAACGCAGAACGACGTCAACAATAAAATAGAATTTGCTTACTATTGTGTTGCTTATAAATTAAATACAACTATTATTGAGTTAAAATTTAATCCGATAAAGTAAATTATATTTTGACAATTTGCATGTTGTTCTCGAACTTGTCGAATTATCGGTAAAAAAAAAATATCTGTTAAAATAGATATTTAGCATATTATTTAATTACACATGGGTGTAATGTTGTGCTGTCAAAACATTTTCGACAAATTTTGCAGTTACAATAATGAACATAGTTGGTGAATATTATGATTTCGTTCCTTCAAAATATTCCGTTGAACCGTGAAACGTTCCCTTCCGATGTGTTCCTACTTCAGACTGAGCTACTGGTTGGAAGCAATTTAAAACCGACTACCAAAGGGGTAATTGCTATATGATCCATTTATGGTTCATGCATTTCTGATGGACCGTTTGATTGCACACTACCTATTTGGATTATTATTTATATTTTCCATAGTAAGGTGTGTTCTGTCGAGTGGTCAAAAACTCTGGTAACTGGGCTTAGTCCAAGATTCGTCCAAATTTATTATTTATTCGTTTTTCGTTATTCTACTTCTCATTGTGTATTAAAGGGGAAACTGTTTTTTCAAATTTTTTTTTTCTATATAATAATAGTATGTACTTTGTTTAAACTGACAGGCGTACTTTTTCCTGCAATTTATCATTGTTCTAACACCGAAAATGTTCGTTGTAATTAAACCAATCTATGAAAGTTTAAACATTTTTTCAACTCTGTATATAGTCATATAGGCAAAGGTTAACAGTTAACTACTTTTTATATTTCCTTAGTTTAATAACATGTATAGAAGTATAGCACCATAGCTGTAAAGGTGAAACTCAGATTTTACACAGACAGAAATAAGAATGAAAGAGAAAAAAATGTTCTTAATTTATAAACATTATTATCTATGCTTTATTGTTTACGGTTTACTACACTACATTTGGACTGCAATAATAGTAATTGAGACATTTTTTTTAAAACTGAAAGAGTGATTTCACCAATCTTTATAACAAAGTTATTTATTTGGACGCTACGTAATACTGTTTCTAACAATGTTGAAAGCTCATCACCTTGTGGTATAGGTCGGTCAGACTTCCAACTTCTCCGATAAAGTATAACTACCCAGCGTCTATCCTATAACTTAATATATTTTTTTATTCATGCAAATTGTTGTGATTCAAATAATATTTTGGGGAATTAAAACTAGTGTAAAATCGAGTTTTTAAAATCGAGAAATCTTTGACATGGGTTTGATTTGAACCCGTACTTATAGATTCTGAGCGGATTGAAGTTATTTTGTGTGTGTGTGTGTGTGTGTGTGACGTCACCAATGTAATAACAATACTTTAGTTTTAAACGTTGAGGGTTGTTTTCGGGAGCAGATATCATCTATTGGTACTTTGTATAGGTCAAAAGTAAAATAAATAGTAATCCAGATAAATAAAAAATATCGGTTAATGTTTTTTTTTACGTAATTAAAAATTGAGTAACCAGTAGACACTTGAAGATTTCCCCAAATATTTATTTTATAATTTTTAACATTAAACATACTATAAACATTTTCAAAATCTTTTTTATTTTTTTTTCATTTATTTACTATACATTTTTTTAGTGAGTAAAAAACCTTGCAAACTAAATTCAATACGAAATATCATAAATTGTTCTTATACAAATTAAAACATTTTGAAAATAAATAGTCACAATTTTGTATAAATGTTTGAACTGGTGATAATAGTGAAAATGTTCACCTTCTCCCTTGTGAGTAGTTTTGTTCCGAATTTACCGACCTACCTAATTATATTTAATCAACACGAATGTGTTGATCGATAATTTGAAACTTGAGCTAAGTTTTATAAATTATAATTTATTTTTATTCTCTTTATTTAAGTATTATTTAATGTTTATTTTGTTTTAAAAAAAATTATAATTTATTTTCTGAATTTGTATGATAAAAGATTCACTTTGAGTCCTTACTAGGTAATTTAAAACAAACTTAGATAGGAATAAGACGTGTAGTTTTTTAATACAAATTAGAAAAAAGTAGAAAATATTTTTTATTAAATTCATTTTATGATTAAACTGAGAATGTGCACTGTCTTGTAAACAATTTTTATTACAAATATGTTATGAAATATATAATAAATATGTATTTAGTATTTGTATTTAAAATGTTTAACAATTTTTAAGAAAAATGTAAATATCTTATATTTTTCTAATCATTGTTTTAAACTATAGAAATAGTTAACCATGTGATAAATAATTTATGATACATAACAATTTCCATTTAAAACTAATTTTAGTTTATGTTTTCTATGTACTACAGGTGCTATAATAGGCGTATTTTTTTATTTTACAGACAATTAAATAATATTGTAAAGTTGTTATAATATGTTATCAACTAAAATAGTTTACATGTTCTTGTTATAAAAATTG